ATTAAGTGCTGAGAGAATGCAAATGAGGGAAAGATCAGTGTGTGGTGGGGAAAAACCCAGAGGGCTTCCTGGAAGAGATGTTTTGAGGAAAGGGTTGGGAGGAAGGCATTCCAGGGAAGGAGCATATAATGAGAACCATTATGTGTTGAGCGGATAGCTGGTTGACAGAGTATCTGTACTGTGAAGATTGGTGAGACACAGATAAGACAAGCAAAGAGGGGCAAGATCGGAAGATAAACCATAATTACAGGCACTCTGTGGGCCAGATGGTAGAGTGAGAACCAGCCTGTGGGCCACAGTTAGTTCTGGAGTAAGAGTGCTGGTCATAATGAAACGAGACTTTGGGAAGATAAGAATGAAATAAGACTTGTCTTTATTAGGATCCAGTATAGGCCAGACAGTAGGTTGGGCATTTTCACATTTATTATTTCATTTGAGCCTCACAGCAACACTATTAGATTAATATCAGTGTCTCCATTGTACAGATAAGAAAACTGAGGCCCAGAGTTGAGCCAGTGGGGAGCTGAATTTCTATTTAGATCAGCCCAAATTTGTACTCTATCCACTGCACCATGTGGCTTGAAGTTGTTCTCACTCTCAGAATGCCCCTTGTGCTTTGGGTATCTCTGCCAGGCACTGCTGCCTAGCCAGCGACTCAAGGGTCTTTTTACAACCCAGATCCCTCTGAGTGAGCCCTGGGGTGGATAGGGCTCACCATCCCTGGAGCTTTGGGGGATCCCCAGCACAGGATAGGGTGAAGTACTTGGGCTGTGGGTCTGATGGAAGTGGGTTCTAGTCCCAGCTTTGCTGTGCACTCATTAAACTTGAGCAATATTCTTAACCTCACCAAGCCTCAACTGAGGCAGGACAGAGGGATGAGCCCTGTACTGCTTCAGACTTCAGCTGGAAGTGACAGACACTTGAAGAAGTGAAATAAGATGTCTGTACTCACTTCAGAATAATTGGAGGGAGTTGAGAGGAAATAAGGTTGGCCATGAATTGATAACTAACGGTTGAGACTAGGTGATGGGTTTATGGGGGTCTATTATATAATTTTCTCTCTTATTTTGGGTGACCTCATCTGCATATGTTTGCAAATCTCTATAATGAAAAGTAAAATTATAACAATAACAATGAAAACTTAAACAGTAACAACAACATTATGTCCTCTACACACTCTCAGCTAAAATAGAATCTCTAGTTCCCAGGCATTATTATGTTTTAAAATCTCCTCCACTGAGAGCAACTAAGATGAGACTCTGCATAAACTCCATCTCTAACTAGGTATGTGACCTCAAACTGCTATCCTTCCCTTGCTGAGCCTCAGTTTCCTTGTCTACAAAGTAGGGGTAAAGATTCTAATGACCTCATGGAATTGTTGTGATGTTTAAATGGGATAATATAGGATAATGTGGGCTGGAGTCTGTAACAGAATGAGCAGGTCAGCCTGAGCTTTGCACTCACTCTGAGCATGACTAGGCCTCTAGCCACAGTGGGTAAGGAACTCTAAGCCAATATGTACAGAGGAGGCCCTCAGCTGACCTCTCAGGGACAGGCCTCACCTTCTGGGCAACTCTTACCCTTTTGCAAAGCACAGGTCATTCATCAACTAGAAAGGCTTTTCAGCTGCCTTTCCTTACAGCTTAAAGGTCACCCAGTACAAGGACACCAGGGTCACTCTGTCACCACCAGAGGTACAGATGGGGGCAGGGACTGAATGGAGAGAACGACTTGGGCTTTGTCTGCTGGCCTTGCTACTGGCTTCCAGAACTTAGCCTTCGTTTCTCCACCTGTGTCAGGGGCTGGTGAAGGGATAGCACTTGATAAGGGGTAGGCCCTAGGAAATAATCGATGGATGGGAGAGAATGAATGCATGAATATGTGGAGACCACTTTAATATGACAAACAAGGTGACCTGCTGGAACCTCCAGGGTGGCGGTGGGAACTCCCAGGATTGGGGAGGGGCCGTGACACCTGGGCCAACTCCTCTGGGATAGGGAAAGAAAGCAAGAGGAACACAACAACAGAAGGTACAGCAGGTGGAGAAGCGCGGGAGAGGAGCCAGGAGTTACAAGGAGAAGACTCTGGGACACGCCCCAAAGCCGAGGAAAGGTGGAAGTGCGGGGTCGCAGGATGACCACCCAGCCCGCCTGCGCGCTGGCCTAGGTTCCAGGTCTCCTTCTGCTCCTCGGAGCTCCGCAGCGCCGCCTGGCGGAAACTCCGCGCTCTGCTTCGGGATCAGCAGCAGCAGGCCGGTGAGCCGCGGATCCCCTGGCAGTTCAGGAGAAAGACCGAGAGAGCTCGGCGCGCGCGGCGGGGAGGGGTGCTTGTTCCCGGAGGGGGCTTGCATCTCGGCCTGGACCCTCAGCACATGTTGGCACCCTCTCTTCTCTAACCCGCGCCCAAGGCGACTCAGCTCCGTCCAACACGTCGGGGAACGTATTCTCCTCCCAGCCCCTGGGTCCCCAGCTCTGGAATTTTGCTGCCTCTCAGTAGTTTCTGAGAGAAGAAAGTCTCTTTAAATTTCAAGGCGTTTTGTTTTTGACTTTTGTTAATAAAATACCAGGAGTGGGCACAAAGGCACAAACGTGTCCAACTTGTCTCTCTGCTGCTCCCAGACCTGAAATTCTAGGACTCGGTAATTTCTAGGTCAATCCCTGCCCAAGCGGGTACGGGTGGGTGAGGTGTGGTAGATCAAGGACCCCTGTTTGAGGACGCGAGGCGAAGGAGGGCGAATCGTGTGGAGCGGAGTGGTCAGAGGCGTGTGGCTGGTGGTGGCGAGCGGGGGCCTGGCGTTCACGTCCCAAGCCGTGGGCACGAGTTGGTCGCGATTCAGGCCGTATGACCTCCTTGAACGTCCTCCCCTCGCACTTCTTAAAAGAGGGGCGGTGTCTGTCTGAGAGCCTGGGGGTGACAAGCCTCTCCGAAGGCGGGGGTTCTCGAGGACCCAGGCCCAGCCAGGCCCAGCCCAGCCTGTCTTAGCAGGACCAGAGGGGGAGCAGCGCCGCGGCGTCCCCGGACACCGCCGGCCAGGGTTCTCCTCGGGCGCCAGCTCCTGTTTCCGGAGCCGGGGCGTCTTGGCAAGAGGGTCGGAGGCACTAGAGGCTGCCTTCTCTTGGGTAGCGGCGTCGGAGCCTGAGTCTCCACTAAGTCCTCTCGGGGCGGAGGCCTGCCAGCTTCCCTCTGCGTGAGGTCGCCGGGGCTGCTTTGCGTGCAACCCGGGAAAAGGCCCCGCAGCCGTGAGACTGACAATGGAAGGAGGATGGAAAAATCTCAAAGTCATCAAACACCGAGCAAATGGCGGCGGGAGCGGCGCGGTTGACCGACCGAGGCCGAGGGCGGCCTCTGCGCCGCGGTGAGCCTCCCGAGGCAGCAGGAGGAGTTTGGCGCCGAGGAAGGCCGAGAGCTGGGAGAACCCGGAACGGCCTGACCCTAGGGAGAGGGCAGTTCGGGGTGCGCGCTCAGCGACGCGGCTCCGAGGTCCCGGGATGCCAGGAAAGGCGCGCTCCGGGCTCGGAGTTCCCGAGGACCTGGAGGGTGAGGGCACAAACAGCCAGGAGGCCAGAGTCACGCCCAGGCCTGGAGTGTGTGCGTGTGTGTAAGTGAGCACGAGGGGGGGGGGGCATGCCCCGAACCGCCCCCGGTAGAAGATTAGGGCTCTTCTTTGCGTGGTTCCACTGGCACCTCAGGCAGTCCCGCCGCTCAAAATGGGGAGCAGCGAGCGGTGCGCACGGCGGGGATCCGCGCCGGGACCGAGGGTCCCACCGCCGCTTCGCGAAGTGCAGCCCGTGACGGTCCTCAGCGCTCACCTGGTTGCCCCAGGTTGCCCCAGCGAGAATGATTGCCAGGACCCTCGCGGGTCCAGTTTGAGGGGGCTTCCAGGTCCCGTGCCCAGGCGCGCTCTCCTGCCGCACAGACTGGGATAGAGCGCCGGCTGCGGAGAAATCGGGACGCGGAAAAGCAGCCTCGGCGCCGGCTAGCCGCGGGTCCCGACTCCAGAGAGGAAGGAGCCCGGGGAGGGGTGGGGCGGGCCGTGAGAGGAAGGGGTGTGTTGGAGGGGGATCGGCTGGCGGCCATCTCTGGCCCTTGTCAGCCAGAAGAAGAAAAGGAGAGCAAACTCACTTTCTCCTGAAAGATAAGAGGGTTCCGGCGCGCTCTCCCTGGCCCTGGGAACCAGGTTCCCAAGCGTCCTTCGAACCCCAGTCTATCCCGGCCGCGGGCCTGGGGCAAGGGATGCTTGAAAGCAAAGGGAGGAACAGCGGGCCCCGGCACCTCCCCTGGGCCGAGGCCCGACAGGCGAGTCCCGGCCTGCGCTGCTCTCTGCTCAAAACGAAACCCAAACTCCTAAGAATCTCAAGAGGAAAATTTTAAAAATCATTTTTCTTTCACTTTTAATAAACAGGCTACTGAGAGAAAAATAAAAAACGAAATGAGCGATAGCTAAGGATAATATATTTTCAAAGTGTGAAGTCCTCTCTTGAAAAATATTTTTCCCTTTGACCAACCCCACGACTGGCCAGCCCTTCCGAAGCCTTTGCCTCTTCCTGAAAATCACAACAAAACAATCGGAACTGCGGCCACCGTCCTAGAAAGGAGTGGGCATGAGGCCCAGGGAACCCACTGCAGCTGCCTTGCTCTTCTTTCTCTTAAACCAAAAAATAAAAAAGATAATAATAAGAAGTAAAACCTTTTAATACATCAAATATACGGAATTTTAATCTTTAAAGCGATACATTGTCTATTATTTTAGTACATGACGTAAACCTTACTTGTCCCCTTCTCAGCGGGTGTACTTAAAAATTAAAAATAGTTAAGTGTTCCTTTTAAAGAACAAAATAAGGCAAATGAGGTTTTGGAATAGAATTGTTTTCCTTTTTTTTTTTGTTTTCTTCCAGAATACATACAAAAAAATACCCATTCTCTTCCGATGGTATACACCTTAAAAATAATTGTAATTTGAAATCAGAGCTGACAAATTGTGACTTGTTTTGTTTTTTTCATTTTTTGTAACAAACATGCATGTAAATTGTTTCAATCAGACATTAAATAAGAACGTACAATACAACCATAGCAATTTTAAAGTAACATTAAAGAGAAGACCTCTAGTTCTGTGGCGGTTTTGTATTTATTTATAATCTACAAGGGACGGGAGGGTTTGTTTTCCATTTTTAAATTTACCCCCTCTTGCTTTTTAATCCCCCCCCCTTCCTTTTTTATCTACGGAGCTCAAACTAAATAATGCACTTTAGAACCACGGGTCCGCTTGGAGCTAACATAAATAAATACCAGTGTCCATCGATGCAGTCCTCAGATGAACACTTTCTCAATTATTTTTCCTTCCTTCTCTATAAAAAGTCAAATGATATTTTTTTCAACTTTTATAAAGTTTGGGTGGGGAGGTGAGGTGGGGGAAAGGGGAGTTTCACCGGGTCTCCGTCGCTGTTTCCGGTAGATAGATACGGTATATATATATTTTTTTCCTTTCCTGGCCCGGGTCATCCGCACTCACGGGTGACATTAACTTCTCCCAGTTCCCGCCCCTCCCTCGGCTCCTCCCCTGCCCCCAGCTCCTTTCTTTCCCTGGCTAGCCCTCTCGACAGTCCCTCACTGATACCCCAGCGCCGAAGCCGTGGTCAGTCTCTGTCCGTAGAGGGCGTAGGGGGAGTAGTAGGGTCCGGTGGCAGCCGGCACCGGCACTGGAGCGCCGGGTGTGGGGAGCGGGCTCTTGGAGTAGGGGTGGTAGCGGCTGCTGAGTCCCAGCGCGTGGTGGGGGCTGCGCAGCGCCAGCGTCCCAGGGCTTCCCGGAGCGCCCGATGTGGGGATGTGCATGTGGCAAGCCATGGCGGCCGCTGCAGCGCTGGCCAGAGACGACGAGCTGGGGTAGCCCGACAGCAGTTTGTCTGTCCCGGGGAAAGCCGTATGGGTCCGCAAGTGGCTCAGCAGCTCTTCGGACGTGGCGAAGCGCTTGTCGCACGGCCCGTTAGCCGACACCCAGTTGCAGATGTGGGGAAGCGGGTCGTTAGGGAGCATGAAGCCGTAAGGGTAGAGGGGGTGGCCGGCCAGGGAGGGTGGTGTGGCCCCGGCAGCGGCCGCAGCCGTTAGCGATGAGTGCACACCGTGCAGAGGATGCGTGGGGTACACCAGCGGGTATCCGGACTTGAGCGCCGCTGCTGCAGCAGCTGGATCGTGGGCACAAGATGCGCTGGCTGCCGCAGCCCCCGCCAGGTGGCTGGCGCAGTGGTAGCTGAGGCAGTACGGGTCCCGGCACAAACTGGCTGTCATCACGGAAGGCGGCGACGCCCCGGCCAAGGGGCTCGAGCCAGCCGGCTTACTGCAGCCCAGAGAGCCCGCCGCGGCCGCCGCCAGCTGCGCCCCCACCAGGCTGCCGGGCTTGGTAGGGTCGAGCGCCACGCCGTGTGGCAGGAACTGGGGTGGGTAGCCAGCGTAGGCCCCCGCCAGGCTGCCTGGGTAGGTCATGCCCGCGGGAGGCAGAGGGAACACTGTCTGACCTGGCTTGTAGGGAGATACTGGCGCCACCAGCCCAGAGCCCAGCACCGAGGACGAGGTTGGTGCGTTGGGGCCCGAGCCGGAGCTGGAGCCCGATGAACCGCCACAGTCCGAGCCTAAAGCCTTGCCCCCGGGGCCCCCATCTGGGTGCTGGTTCACGTCCACATTAATTCCGCCGCCGCAGCTAATCCGGCCGTGTGCCAGCCCTGTGGGTGCCCCTTCGGCCGAGACACCCCCGGAGCCCTTGCTGCTGCCACCGCTGCCACCTGAGTCGGGGTCCTTCTTGTCGTCCTTGCCCTCCGGGCCGCCCCCAGCCGAAGGCAGCATGCCTCCTGGTGAGCAGGCCGAGGCGCTGGAGCTTGGGCTGCCTGTCCTGGGCGTGAATGGCTGGCAGGTGGCGCTCGGTACTCGGAATCCGGACTTCTCCGCGGAAACCCCCCCGCCGCCACCACCACCCCCGCCGCCGCCGCCTCCGCCGCTGCCTCCCGGCTCCTTCTTATCCGAGCCGGGTTTGGAGTACGGCTTGAAACTAGATTTGTCCTCCACACCGATGTCACTCAGCTTGAGGGGCCCCGACTTTCCATCCTTGTCACTCCCGGCGCCGCTGCCGGCACCGCCCGCGCCGCCCCCATTGGAGGCGACAGAAGAGAGTTTGGAGGAGGGCGAAGGGTCGGGCTTCCCGATCTGCGAGCATGTTTGCGCCAACAGTGCCAGTGGGCTCTTCTTAGCATCAAGCTGCAGGGCCAGACGTGGGTGGTGGTGGTGGAGGCACAGAAAGAAAGAAGGAGAAATCCTTTAGAATCCTGGCTTCTAGATTCAAATACCCCTCGCGACAGCCCGTGAAGAAAGATCCTCCCAGCCCCGAGGCGCAATTCTAGGCGGCACCCCTTCTCTCAACCTCTCTCTCTCGTCCTTGAGAAAGATAGCAGACACCCCTTCCCCCAAACAGGATTTTCTTGTCCTCTTTAACCACTAAACCGGATTTCTTAAAAACTCACAAAATGTTTTGGTTTCTGACTCCTAGACCCAGAACTGTACACCCCACCCCCACCCCATCCCTAATTCTTCAGAGTAAGGGTTCGGAAGGTTTGCGCCTGAGAGGCTATGCACAAATATTAGCTTCTGGGGAACCCGAGGACTGCGACTTTGGAACCATATTTCGGGCCCCCGTCCGTGTTCTGGGCAGAAAGTGAGTGGGCCTGGGTCGGGCGAGGGGCTTTTATACCAAAGGGAGGAACAAGTTTTGGTTGCCTTGACCCCTAGTATTCACATCCCAGTCTACCTCCTCCTCCTTTACCCCCGTAGTTTTAAGGTGCGGGAACACTCTCCTCTCTTCCCATCCCAGAGCTGAATCACTCCGACCGACCCCCTCCCCCGCCCCCACCAACTTCCAACCCCAGATCCCAAGAAAAAGAAATTCCGTGAAGCGAAAGCCAGGGTGGTGGTCCCATTCCAGCAGGATCCAGGGAGATGGTCCTTACCTCAATAGGGCTGACGGGAGTGGAAGGCAGGGGCTGCAGGTACTCAGGGTGCAAAATGTGGCCAGTCCGTGCGGTCAGCATCTTCAACACCTTGATGGGCAGCCTGTTAGCCTGGCGAAGAGGGTCAGAAGGGGGCACAGCGTGCACAAAAGGCTTGGTGCTGCCGGCCGGGGACGAGCCTGGGCCGGGGCCGGAGCTATTTCCAGAGAGTGCGCTGGTCCAGGCAGGGTCCGCACTGCCGCCGCCGCCGCCGCCGCCGCCGCCGCCGCTGTGCTTACTGCTTCTTAGGGCAGAAAGCGAGGGCGCTGTGCTCATGACCCACCCGCGCGCATGGGAGCAGCGGGGGGAGGGCTCCAGGAGGCTCGGGGCGGGCTCCGGGCTGCGCGCTCGCCCGGGGAGCTGGAGCAGCAGGAGGAGGAGGAGCTGGCGCAGCGGCCACCCGCGCCCAGCGCGCCTTCTCGGCGCCTGGAGCCAGAAGCGAATAATCCTGGGTGGCCCGCTGCGGAGCCGGGGCCGACCGGGAGGAGCCGGCCAGACTGCGGGACTGCTGGGTGGCTCTCCGTATCTGCTTCGGGCTGTGCTGCTGCGCTGCGCACTCGCGGCCCGGCGCTGGCGCTGGCGCTGCACTCTGCGGTGTGAGCCACTGCCTGTCCAGCCGGGGCTCTGGCGAGGAAACTCACTTCAAAAGCAGCTGCACCGAGGGGGAGATTAAAGCCTTTGCCGCCTTCCAATCAAATGGGAGCCCGAGGTGATTGGAGGGTCAAGGGGATGTGACGCGTCCCGCGCCGCCGCCGCCGCCGCCGCCAGGACTCTCAGCGCTGGTTTTAATGGGCAGCTCCCTTCTCACCGCCCCCCCCCCCCTTCCCCGCGGCTTGTCCCCTCCCTCGATTTCGATCCTTGGGGGAGCTGGACTTTTATTCTACGTTTGCTATCTGCCGCCTCCCTCTTTTTTTCCCTCCTCGTCGTCCTTCCTTTTCCCAGCTCGAAAATAAACCGAAACCTTCTTTTGCAGGAGGGTGAGTGTGAGGAACAGATTGAGGTGGTGTTGAAATGGAGCACCGGCACGACTCTGGACAACAGCCGGACTGTCAACTCCAGGGGCGTACAGGGGGCTCGAACGCCAAATATTCTCTCTTCCTCATTAATTGAGATCTCTTGCGGTGCGGCCGCCAGGGTAAGGAAAGGTGGGGAACGGGTGCTGGAGGAAGTCCGCCCTCCCGATTTGATTTCCCGAGATTTGGCGGCGGAGAAACCAGAAGCTAGGTGGGCAGCAGTGGCGGTTTTTCTCCGAGTTATGCGCTGGACTCCCCGCCCTTCCCGGCCACGTGACGCCCGGGGACTCGCAGATTGGGGCAGGAGCGAGAGTCACATGTTTCCTCTGTTTCACACTCAGCCCCCACTTCTTACTCTCCCCTGCCACCCTCTCTTCTCCTACCGGCTCCCCCCACCCCACTAAGTTCTTTGGGCATCTCCACCCCTCCATCAATTGTCAATGTTCCTCGACCGCAATCAATCAGTTATTTGTCAGCTCTTGTCAATCCGCCCGTGATTTATGTCAGCTTTTGTTGCTGATTACAAGGCGGGTGCGACTTGAAGGGGAAAAGAGAGAAAGAGAGAGAGAGGGAAAGGAAGGAAGAGATCGAGGGGAAACCGGAGGAGGAAAGAGGAGCAGCCTCCTGGGATGGGAGGGGGTGGGGGCTCTAAGAAAAAAGAATGAAAGAGGGGAAGGAGGCGCTCAGTGTCAAGAAAATGAATAGTGAGAGTAAAGTGCGCAGGTGCGGCCAGGGTGCTGAGAGGGGTGCGCAGGCCTGTGGCGCGCGCCTCACCCTTCTCGGTGTCGGAGACAGAGATACACCCTTCCATCGTTGGGGCCGCGGAGTTCGGAGCGGCTTCGGGTACCCGAACAGGAGGCGGCGATGTCTAGCTTGGGAGAATTTTTTCTCCTCTGGGATATTCCCTCGGGGGCATATAGTGTGCCGATGCCAGGCTGCTAGCCTGTCCCGGACCACACCCTCGGTAGTGCCCTGACCCCAAACTCGGAGACTTCTTAGAGCCACATCACCGACGTAACCTTGAGTCCTGCAGGTCAATGGTGGGGTATCCCCCTCAATTCTTTGAACCCCCTCGGATCGTGGCTAAGGCTGAGAGGCTGCAAAGAAGAGGCCTGACCGTTTGTGTATGGGGGGGAAAGGTCTCAGGCTCACTCAGGCCCTTTCCCCAATCCTCCCGCACAGTGCGCCAGCCACCCGAGCGGGCTTGGCCGCTGGGTTACTCCGGTCTGCTCGCTTGAATTTATTGGAACGCGTAGGTGGGACTGACCTGCGCTGGGATAGCAGAGTGGAAGAGCGAAGGGGGAGGGGGGGACTGCCTGTGGGAACGCGGGCTCTTCCAGGGAAGCGGAGCGGGACTGCCGCGTTCCCCTCGATTTGCACCGTCACTCCGGCTGTTTGGAAGGAAGAGGGGAGGCGCTGTGCGTGTCTCCGTGTACCTGAGTCTGGGTGCACAAGTGTGTATGTATGCCTGTGCCGCTGTGTGAGTTGTCAGGGCTTTGATAGCGTCCGGAGCGAGTTCGGGGGTCACCTTCAGAGAGTCGCAGAAATTGGAAGGGGGGCGAGAAGAGGACACATCCCCTTACTCGGAAGGACTTGGAAGACTTTGAATTTCCCCTCCCCCACTTTTCCGCCCCGGCTCTTCTTTTGTTGTCAATCCTTTTGATAAATGGCGGGGTAGGGAGCGCTGGGAGCCAAGAGCCAGTCTGTACCCGCGCGGGGGTGGAGGCTGGGCCTGGACACCGGTTTCCACCCGCGCTCCCCAAGCACAGAACCCCGTAAGTGCGGGGGTCGGATTTCGGACCTGCCTTCGGCGTGCTCGCCCTCTCCTCTTTAAACATCCTATTCCCCTCTCCCCCATTTTTGTCTCTTTCTCCTACTCCGCACAGGTACCGAGAACTTTCCGGGGTGAGTTTTAGAATTTTCTTGCAGCAATTCATTTTCTGCGTTTTAATCTTATCCCTTGATTCTTCAGGTTGGTAAACTTCATGAGATGGTAACTTGACTAAAGATAATTTGGAGAAGGCGAGTGAGGCAGTGTGTATTTGGGAACTGCTGTTTGTTGGTGTGTGTGTGTGTGCAAGTGTGTAGGTGTAAGAACATACCTACATGCAAGGGGGTTTGGAGTGTCTGTGCGACAACTGAGGAAGGTAAGTTTGGGAGACAGTGGTGAGGCCACAAGCAAAGCTGTAAGGTTGTCTTGATCATCTTTGGGGAGCAAGTCCCATGTAGTCTTAAACTGTCTCTGAAGAGCAGTGTGTTTGTGGAGCCGTTTATATCCTGCGGTTGTGTTAGTGTCTGTGTCATTGAGTGCTCCGCTCGCTGAGGGCTGGGATCAGCTGTGGAGCTCCCAGCTCTTTGAGCCCATCCGTGGGCCGCGTGTCGCCTCGGCCTCCCCGTAGGCCCAGTCACTGAATGCTGGAGGCAGTGGCCATAGCTGGAGGTGACCATCGGCATGCCCCCACCTCTTTACCCGTTTCCGGACTGAGTTCTTTCCATCCAAAGCGTTGGGTAACCATAGTGGCCCCGGTGCCCCGAGGAACAGGCGTGCCGCAGAATGGCGACACATTTTCGAAGGCCTGCGCGGAGCTGCGCGTTTTCGGGTTGTGGTCCGCGTGCACTCGCTCTTCCCTAAACCCAACTCCGAAGGTCCGAGCGCATGGGGGCGCCTGGAGGCCTGAGCGCCCCGAGCTTTCTGGTGGTTCCAGCATCCGAGCAGGCGTACCTCTCCAGGGAGGTGCTTGAAGGACTTGTGGGCCGTAGGGATGGGGGGTTATTAATTACTCTGCGAGAGGCCTAATGCCTCCAACCCCCAGCGGCGGTTGGCGTGGATGTCCTGTGGATTTTATTTGCACACAATGGAAATGATTTGTCTTCTCTAAAAAAGGAATGGGCATGGCAGATATTTGAGGAAGGGGTGGGAGGAGAAAAAAGGGGAGAGAGTAGAAGCAAAAAGTTTGAAAATGCCTTGAACTATTCACTGTCGAGATGGCTAATCAGTATTGAGGCCGGAGGGCAGGCGGGCCGCCTTTCACCGCCGCTTCCCTTTCATCTCGGGCTCTGCGGAGGCGCTCAATTAAAAGCCTATCAGTTTGTAAGTAAATCAACGCCTATCAGAGTTGTCACATCAAACAAAACGATTATTATTGCAGCCCGCCTCCCCTATTAATCTCCCTCGAAGATAATCCGCCTGACAGGTCAGACCCGGCTAGCTGGAAAGCCTGGCCCAGAGCGCCCGAACACTCCCGGACTGGCGGCGTACACCCCTGGGGGCCTCCCCACCCAGGTGTCGCCCCGCCTTGTGGTCCTCTGGGGGGGGGGGGGTGAAGAGCACGCGGAGACCGCTGGACTGGGGCCTGACTGGGAGCGGGGCCCAGATTCCCGGGTTGGTAGGGGACGGTTCCAGGTGGCCCTTCCTCTTCTCGAGGCCTTGAAGGCACCCACCTTGCTGGATCCAAAGCCTGGCTTGTGCCCGGAGTCTCGCCACGGCCTGCACTGTTTTCCACTGGCCTACCCTGGCGCTCTCTCTCTCTCTCATATACCTCCTATTTTTTTGTTTCCTCTACCACTGCTTTCTTGTCTTCCTCACCTTTTTCTTCTCTTCTTCTGCCTCTTACTTTTCCTCTACCTACTTGCCAAGGAATATTTCCTATTCTCTCTCCCTTCTCTGGGTATACCGTATATACTACTTCAGCCCAGTCACACTCTCTGAAGAAGGGCATTCTCAGGGCCCGGGTTATTTCTCTGCACTAGGGCTGCCTCATGAGTGTGTGCAATTCCCAGGAACTCATGACAGAATCCTTCCTAAATTTTCCCCAAGCATGGGCTCTCAAAAACTCTATGCCTGTTTAAGAATTGGATATGTTTGGAAGGCTGAGAAGAAAAAAAAAAGAGAGAGAGACCAGGGCAGTAAGACGGGTGAATGGTTGCAAGTGTCCTATTCTGAAATTAGTATTTGGTCTTGAAATTCACTACTGCAGCATCACTGACCTTGTTGATAACATTGCCTGGGCTTTCCAAATACTCGGAGACGCATCAGGCTTCTATCTGGGCCTCAGTACCGAGCTTGTGAAGGAGTGCCTAACATTTCAGAAGTGAAAACACCCAGACAACTGCTTTTGTGACCTCAACCTGGCAGTCGGTGGGCCAGGTGGCCTTGATAACTGCATGGGCATGAAATCATGGCCTTCTTTCAGGTGGTCTCTGGCTTTGCGCTTTGGGACGCTTCAGGACCAAGTGCGACCCACCCTTTTCCACACTCTTGCTCCAAATCCATAGGCCCCTAAGGCCACTGCTCTAGCCAGGTGGAACCAGGATTGAGAGGTGGTTTAAATGTTTGAGGGGGAAAGGTTGCCCGTGGGTCCCCAGGCCCTGCTATTCTAAATGCCGGGTTTGGAGCCCCCGGAAAGCTCCCCTCCACCCCCCAAGGTGAGGCAGTGCTGGTGGTCCAGTCCCAGCTTCTCCCAGAAGTCATATCGAAGTCCGAGGCCTTGGTTATTGAATAGAGACCACCTTAGGGTGCTGGGTGCCAGGGGATGCAGGACTTATGCGCCCCCCCACCATGGGTTTCCAAAAGCCCCTCAATTTGTGTGCATTTTCCACAGCCGACCTGATAGGAATATTTATTTCTATACTCATAAATATTGTAGCGATGTAATGGCTCAGTTACCTGTGTGCCGATTTTCTTAAATGTATTTATTTCACCTCTGCCACATCGCAGACATTTAAAGAGGTACACATACTGCACCCCTCAGTGATGTG